GGGGCCCGGTAAAAAGGCGGCTCTGAGTCTTTAAGTACCTGCTGTCAGGGTTGGGGGGAGGTTTCACGATGACTGGGTGTCCTGTGGCAGGTCGCAGCTGGAAGAGATTCCGAGTAACCAAAAAAAAAGAGAAGGTGTGATTAAACAGTGGTGTGCCTTAAGGAGGAAAGGCCTCAAAGGAGAAGAAGGTGCTTTAGCAATGGTTCAGAGGTCTGGATTAGGAAGAGCTCAGAGCAGAGACAGGGTAAGGTGATTTAATGCTGTTTCTGTCACTCTGTGGTTCCCTACAGCCTCTGCATCGAGGCAAACGCTCCTTCCTTTATTGCTGTAGAGGCTCATAGTGGCTTATTCTGTGATAGCTTTTATTATAATTTTTTGCTAAACAAAACTGAAGGAGCAGAGATTTATCTTCTGCCAGTACCTCATTCTACTAACTTGTTTCTGACAACTATTTTCCTCCTGGGCTGCCTTCTAGAACCATCATCGTATAGCCCTTTGAAACTAAAGGTACAGAAACTTGAAAGCCACGTGTTCTAGGCTAAGGGTGTTGGTATGCATTCTGTTCTTCAAAGGCCAAGGTACTATATTACAGGTTTTCTCATTGCAGTCATCCAGCTCATACAATAAATGAGTTGCCATGATCTCTGTTTATAAGCTGAGCTTTGTAACCTTTTCTTCTCTATTTCTTACAAATGGAAAGAAAAACATAGCGAGCATGACTTCTGCGTCAGCTACTCTGTGAATAGTTGACGCTGACAAAGCAGGAGGCAGAAATCTTTCTTCAAACTGAGTGACGGTGTATAAAACAATAAATGAGTTGTGATGAGAAAAACAGCTTTGATGAAAACATGAGCCAAGAACAATAGCTTGACAGAGAAGTTTAAACTTTTCCCTGATAGCTCTTTGGGGCGTAGACAGTTAAGTTTCTGCATTTGTAAGGCAAACATGGCATTCCTTAAAGCTGAACCTTCTCCCTTGGGTTCCCACTGAATGCCTGAGAGATGACAGTAGAGGGTGTCTCCAGAAGGCTAATATTAAACATGAGGAATTAGTATGGAGGGAGCAACAGCAAGTGAGATTCCAGTTTTGACCACAGAACGAGCTAAAAAATTTTGCATCAGCAGCTGCATGCAGTTTCTTACTCATTGGCTGCACACAGCTCCTTCTGTTCAAAGGGTTCTTGTGTGCCCTCATATTAGTAAATGCACCTGCCCTTTGTGTGATGTGTGAAAGATGGGCTGCTCTTAAAGGATAAATTGGCTTCACACAAAGTGCTGAGGCAGTGTAACGCAGGAAAGATTAACCTTGGAAGGGCAGCCTTGGTTCAGACACACTTGCAACTTGTTTGCTATCCACAGCAGTACGAACCAGGCTTGCAGGGGAGCTGGTGGGCTAAATACGTGGACAGGTGGAAGAGGTGCAGACAGGAAAGGGGGAAGAAAGGGGGAAAATCGTGTTTGTAAAGCTTTTGAGGGGGCTCTGGTTAGTTCTGAGAAAGGGCTTTAGCCAGTCCCATCTCTATTTTTAACTCTGTGACTGTATGACTTGGGGAAAGTTATTTGAACAATTCAAGCCAGGTGCAAGTCTACGGGGAGAGGACAAACCCATCGGCGCTGGGTGCAGTGTGGGCACCCAGTCAGCTCATGCAATGTGGCAGCCGCCACCGCACCCTTTCCTGTTCGTCCTGTGGCCACAGGCAGCCCTGCCAGCTACCACTGCCCTGAGTAAGGAGAAAGGTAAAAGGATTGCTTTCCAAGATTCTGATAACCCCTAGCACCCGGCATTACTTGGCAACGGAGAGGTGGCGAGCAGCTCTGGCGTGGTATCTCCCATGTGCCAAGTCAAATGCCCTCAAATGGATGGGACGTTGAGCTCTGGGAACTGCTCTTGGTAGTGTTGACTTTTAGCTGTGTCTCAGCCTCATCTCTTGTAAAATGTAGTATTTACTTATGTAAAAAGGTATTGGGCATACTTTGCATGGGTGTTCCGAGTTAAATATTGTCAGTCAGGGCAAACAGATCTTTGGGGTGAACTACAGGAAAGCAAAGTGCATATGCTGCGTTATTACAATTCTTTTCAGAACAAAGAGTGTGACCTGGTGCTCCTCTGGGCTGCTGAGCGCCCAGTTCAGCAAGTTTGAAAAAGCACTGCGGTGTTCTTGAGTTCAGTCCTCCCTTAGATAAAACCTATTCTGTTTTATTTCTTTTCCTTTGGCGAGATGTTTATAGTATCTCAGTGAGTCAGTAAGTTGTGCATTTGAGGAATGCACCTCACAACTGTTAAGGTAAGCCTTTAGTATGGCTCTGCTGGAGGCAGTGAGACTAATTAGTTCTTCCCAGGTGACTTGGGAGTTGCAGAAAAGGGCTAAATATCTCATTTAGCCTGAAGTATCAATGGGAGGCATTTTCATATGGAGTGGGATCCTGTATTTAATGGGTCCTGCATATGAATCTCACTGCAGGATCTGTATCATGGTCCCTAATTTTCTGGCAGCGTTTAGTCAGGAGAATAACCTGTACCCGGCCGATGCGAGGCGTTCCTAATGGATTTATTTGGATGCTTGTTCTGTGAAAGCTGCTCCTTAACTGGCACAAAGCAACTGCTTCACCTGGGTGAATGCGAGATCACAGTACTGTGGTTATTGAGAGTATGGAGGAACAGGGAAGTAATTTCCGTATTAGAAAAAAAAAAATAAAATTTGAAAGAGTAGCGTGTCCTGTAACAAACCCATTCCCACCCCTGCGAGGTTCTGCTCCTCGCCTGAGCGGCACCGCTGCGTGCCCGTGTCCTGCGTTTTGCGGCAGATGGAGTCATCCCGGTGGCAAAAAAGGGACAATACGTGTCTCCGGAGGCCCAGGCAAAGCCCCCTTTCCCCCCACAAGCCCCCTGAAGAGCAAAACCTGGCAGAAAAAGCCCACAGCGAGCGCGGTTTGACCCTCGCCCCACGCTGCCGGCGGGGCCGGGACTCGAACCCGCGTCCCACCGCCAGTCACCGCCCCCGAGGACCCCCTTTAGGTGCCCGTCGCGTTCGCCGGACGAAGGCGCTCCGGCAGTAGGGCGGCCGCCCGGAAGCGGAAGTGGCGGCGCAGGCCCTGCCGCCGTTGCCGGGCGGAGGCGCGGGCCCGCGGCGGCGGCTGCGTCCCGTCGCTATGAGCGCGGCCGGGTTGGTGTCTGCCACGCCGCCGGCCCCCGCTCCGCCTGGGGCTCCCGCCACCGCCATGCCCCCCGGTCCCGAGTACTACGAGGAGGAGGAGTTGGAGAGCGCCGAGGAGGAGGACGGCGAGCGGAGCGCTCGGGCCCGCGACTCCGATGAGGGTTGGTGGTGCGACGGGCTGGGCTGGGGGGG